GCCGGGATCTTTGTGAATCACTGAGCTATTTGAATAAGTATCAGAGTCTACCAAAGGTTTTACTTGTAAAGTATTTGAAGAAATCACCATATAAGTGATTGGTACTTGGGTGAGTTCCTCGTGTATAAATGAATTCCTAGTAAGGATGATTCCATGTATCTCTGAACAATATGAAAGCTAGGTCATACACTGCAGGCTTAAAGATAAGTCTTGAAGTGCTCAGAAAATAAAGCACCACTAACTCTTACCTTCACTTCCAGATTTACAATGTCCATTACACCATGAGTATCAATGGGAAATTACAAGATGGGTCAATGGAAATCGATGCTGGGAACAACTTGGAGACCTTTAAAATGGGAAGTGGAGCTGAAGAAGCCATTGAAGTTAATGATTTCCAGAATGTAAGTATATTTCGTGCATTTGAAGAGTTTAGCCAGGCAAGCCTGGGGACTTTTCCAATTTGGGGAGAAGCAGCATCGCTCCCACATGCCCGTGGCAACGGCTCCTTACAGCAGGTGTGGTGCTGCTGGTCCATATGTGCCCTGAAGCTTGTGCTCTCTGAGAAGGGACTACGCTTCATCCCTCGTCTACGCAAAGGAAAAACAACACCTCGGTGGTGTAAGACAAACCAAAACCGTTTATTCAATTCATGTGCTGAAAGAATTTTATCTTAATCTTTTTACTTCTAGGAAATAAAAGCTATAGGCTACAAAGAAAAATAAAGTTTGATTTAACACACACACAATACCATAAACTTTTTTAAAACATGAATTATTTATTGGGAATAGCAGTTAGTGTAATGGCTATGTCGCTGGACTCCCATGTAGTCAACCACAGTTCAAGTCCCAGACCCAGTGACTTAAACTCACGCCAGACACGTGTGTCTGCGTGTGTGCCCAAGATCCCAAGAGGAGAATGAAGGAGAAGGGACTACAGTGTGGCCATTCCCCCAGGGGGTGATTTCTCGCTTTCTCTCTCTCTGTCTCTCTCTGTCTTTCTGACGAGCGCATGTGCCCTATTGCAAAAACCTCTAGTAAAATGAATTATTTATTTAATTTTATTTATTATTATTATTTTAGAGAAATTTTTGCTATAAGGCATGTTCCCTCACCAGAGAGACAGAGAGACAGAAAGTGAGAAATCACCCCCCAGAGGGATGGCCATACTGCAATCACTTCTCCATTCTTCTCTCAGTGTCTTGGGTACGCACACACACATTCCCAGAGTTTTAAGCCACCAGATCTGGGACTTGAACAACAGTTGACTACGTGGACATCCAGCCATGTAACTCTTATACCACCTGCTGGTTCCTATTATTATTTTTTAATTTGACCAGAGAAAGGGAGAAAGCAAGTCACCAGGTCCAGGACTCAAACTACAGTTCACCATGTGCAAGTCCAGCACCTTAACCACCATGTCACCTGCTAACCCCTGACAATACCACAATCTTTAAAAAGAACAGGTTCTGGGGCCAACAAGTAGTGTAGTCGTTGAGGTGCTGGACTCCCACATGGCCTTGAAAATCACACCGGGCATGTGTGCTTGCATGCATGAAATCCCAGAAGAATGGAGAAGGGATTGCAATACGGCCATCCCCCCAGGGTATGGTTTCTCACTTTCCCTCTCACTGCCTCTCTGTCTCTCTCCTGCAAGCGCATCTGCCCTATGGCAAAAAAATAAAATAAAATAAAATAAATAAATAAAAATAAATAGAAAAATAGGTTCTTCTGGATAGTATAAAGTCTTGTCAGAAAGATTTGAAAGCCCTTTCCTTCCATCCAGTCTTCTATAACACAGTGAATAAATTCTCAAACTATCCTAGAAGTTTGCAAGGTTCAAAATTTGAATTTCTAAAGAGGAGAGAAATTCTAACGACCTAATAATATCATCAATAACAGGAGGGATTTACCTACTTTTCTCAATACTTCTGATTTCCCATTTAATCCAGAAAATTTCCATGTACATATTTGCCTGTTACATGTTTTCTGACCATGGCCTATTACAGATGAAGTATTTGAGTCCCTTTTGAAAAGGAGACTTTGGTATTGTCTTACGAAAATTTTACTTCACTGGCTGTCTGAGATATTAAGCGACGCAGTAATGCTTCAGTGCACATCTGCAAAGTACAGTGTCACTCCACGCCCAATTTTCTGTGGGCCAGCATACAGAGTTCATTCTCTTTCATGTTCTAAGATGAGGAAGGGACATCACTGTGTTCTCCTGCTCAATCTGTAGAACTTTATGAAACTTCATAATGAGAAAAGGTTCTTTGAAAACTTCATAATGAGAAAAGGCCACCTCTGGGGTCACCAGGTGGCATAGTGGGTAAACTGCTGGACTCCCTCATGGCTGACCCCTGTTCTAGTCTCAGACCTGGCAGCTTGCTTTCTCACTCTCTCTGTCAGCCTGCTTTCTCACTTCCTCTCTCTCCCTCTCCTGTTCCTCCCTGGTAAGTGCACGTGCCCTCTAGCAAAATTTTAAAAATAAATAATAACAATTAATTAAATAAAATAAATAATTCTTTAAAAAAAAAAGTCTCTTCTCTTTTAAAAATTCTCTCTCTCTCTCTTTTTCAATTTGCTATATGGTATGTGCATTCACCAGAGAGAAAGAGAGGAAGAGAAAGTGAGAAAGCACCCTCTACGGGGGGATGGTCCTCACTATGCCACAGTCCCCTCTTCTCCACTCTCCTCTTGGGATTTGGGGCACACATGGACACACACTTGGCATGTTTTTCAAGCCATCGGGTCTAGTACTTGACCATGCCATTGGCAACGTGGGATCCAGCCACCTTAACCTCCATGCCACCTGCCGGCCCATAATGTCTCTTCTGATGATTTGTTGGTCCCCAAACACCTCATTGGCCAATCTTCCTCTGCTAATGAGGAACATTAAAGATGCTTTTTATTCGAATGAAAGCCTTCCACTTATTTGTACCCATGCCCAGCAGAGGCTAACTTAGAGCCCTGTGATGGTAGACAGGATCTGGGATGAGGACTAGCTGTGTTCGAGTGGTCTGTGCCCTGGGGACAGGCCCTGCAGCTCTGTATGTACCTAGCTGCTCTTTGTGCAGTCAGAGCTTTGCAGAGCGTCCTGGTCAGTGTGCAAGTGTAATTTCCCTGTACCTATTCAAGGCTTCTATTGCAAGGCCCGAGACAGGGTAATAGCATTTGTTCTTTGTACTACTCAGTATAAATTTATAAAATGCGACTCCCCCGCACACATCATTCAGTGCAGAACAAAATTGAATGCCTATGACATGCCACAGTCTCGGCCTATGCAAAGGGAGCTATCCAATGAATAAGAAAAGATCCATCTCTCTCAAGATGTTCAAGACATTCCTGTGTCAAGAATACCTTTGTAAAATAGTTTAATCCCAAACCTATATTTCTCTTTTATAATCCTTTGCTCCTTTCTAATAATGGTATCGATTGTGTTTTGTTCTCATAGACCGACAGGGCCACAAATATTTTATAAACTGATCAATTCTCTTTGATAGCTTCCACATTTCTCTAAGTCAGAACTGGTGAGTAGAATATTTTTTTGATGGATAGTACCTGTTCTGGGTTTAAACAAGCCTAGATTTTTGAAAACACATGAATCAGCCTCTATGGTACCTGCACTATTACTTTCTTCTCTAGTTTAAACCCTCGGTCCAATGTAAGACGTGTTTATTGAGACCTACTATGTACGAGGGAGAGTGCTAAGCATGAGGGAGGTAAAGGACATCTTTGAGAAGCTTGTGCCTCAAGGACCTTCCAGTCCAGCCCAGACACACACACAGCAGTGGCCTGGGGTCAGCCTGGGTACAGGCGGCAGCACTCTGAGCAGACTGCCGCAGAGCTCAGAGCACGCAGAGCATGCGGAGGAGACATCACCGCCAGTTAGGGGTTGCAGCAGGTTGGACAGAGATAGTGACAACTGAATCAGATCCTGAAGGATTGGGATTTCAGCTAGCAGGGAAATAGGGGCAAGGTGCCCCAGATGCAGGGAAGAATAATGAACATGAACGTGCAGTCCTGCTGCGGAGTTCTAAGTAGCCCAGTGCAGTCAAAGCTGGGGAAGGGGAGAGGATGGAAAGGCAATGGGGCCAGATTATGAAAGACCCTGAATTGTAAGCAGTCTCCCCACACTTCACCCAGGATGCCACCAAGATTTTAATTGAGCCCAGTGGGAAATAAGAACCTCCTGAGAAGAAACAAAAGCACTGAAAAAACTGCCCCAGGCTCTACAGGCTGAGATACAAAAACTGGGTTAGTTCAGTGTACTGGTTTCATTCTAGAGGGTTATAAACTCACACGCATCAATGCTAGGGGTTGGAGCTAACCCCCTTGGCTGTATAACAAACTCCTAATTAGAATTTAAAACATGGGGGCCAGCAGATGATGTGGAGGTTAAGGCACTGAATCCCCCATGGCTGACCACGCAGTTTGAGTCCCAGACCTGGTAGCTTGCACCAAGCACATACGCATGTGTGCCCAAAATCTTGAAGAGCATGACAGGAAAGGGATTGCAGTGTGGCCATCCCCCAGGTAGATGATTTCTCTGATGAGCACATGTGCCCTAATGTGAAAATAAATAAATGAGAGAAGAAAGAAAGAAGAAAGAAAGAAAGAAAGAAAGAAAGAAAGAAAGAAAGAAGAAATTAAGAAAGAAAGAAAGAAAGAAAGAAAGAAAGAAAGAAAGAAAGAAAGAAAGAAAGAAAGAAAGAAAGAAAGAAGAAAGAAATTAAGAGATGGAATAAACTGGTGGATATATGGTGCTCAACGTACAATTCTTTCTTTTCTTTTTTCTTTTTTCTTTTTTTTTTTTTTGGAGAGATTTTTGCTACAAGGCACGTGCGCTCACCAGAAAGACAGAGAGAGACAGAGAGACAGAAAGTGAGAATTCATTCCCCCCGGGAGGATGGCCACACTGCAATCCCTTCTCCATTTTCCTCTCAGGATCTTGGGCACACACGCACATGTGCCCGGCGTGAGTTTAAGCCACCAGGTCCAGGACTCGAACCACGGTCGACTACATGGAAATCCAGCAACATAGCCATTACGCCAACTGCTGGTCCCCCATACAGTTCTTTTAACTTTGTGACTATTTGAACATTTCAATTTTAAAAGCTGGAGGAAGAAAAAGAGTAGCATAACCTACCTAGCGGGTAGGTAATTGATGTCAAATGCCAATTTATGGCTCAGCCTGGTGGTGCAGTCCATAGCATACTAGACTGCAGTGCTGGAAGCCATACAACCAACTGTGGTTCAGATCCCCAGCCTGGTCAATCTGAACCTCACAGTTTGTGGGTGGGGGAAACATGCACACCCACAATCCTGATGTGCTGGAGGAAGAGGATCACAGCATGACCAGGCCCTGTCTAAGGAGCTTCTCTTCCACTCTTTCTTCCTCCCCTCTCCCTCTCTGGCCTCTTTTTTCCTCCTCTCCCTCTGTGTCCTCTTTCTCTCCCCTCTCTCTCCTGTATACTCATACATTCTCTACCATTAATAAAGAAAAAAATCAACACAGCACCCAACTGTAACATAAAGGAAAAATAAAACAAAAGTCATTTATAGCAAAATACAGACTTTGTATGTAAAGGTTCGGCCTGACATAAGACATAAATAAAGTTACTCTTCAACTAGTTGTTGACTGTCAGTGCCATAGGCTGAAATGCGGATGCAAGTCTATGCTGGCAAGTTAAATGCCATGAAACGTTTTCAAACAGTGGACAAAAGTACCATTTTCTCAGAAACTGCATTCCTAGAAATCCACAGCACATTGAAGCCATGCCTGGCCTGGCTGTGGTAGCACCCACTGGGCAGTGCTGCTCAGCAGGCTGAAACCACATGGGGGCCAGGGTTCGAGTTTCCATCCAACCTAAAAAGTAGTGTGTGGTAGCATGGTCTCGGCCACTTGGGAGGTTGAGGCAGGAGAACCGTGGCATGGCAAAAACCAAAAACACCACACAGACACACGTGCACACCAAAAAGTAAATAAAAATAAAATCACATCATGTTTATATAAAATGGTGTTGGTTTCCAGGCACAGATACTTATACAATTTTTTTTCCTTAGACCCAGGATAGTTAGTTCTTTGAGATTGCCCCAGGCCCTGCAGGACCTGGCACTCCTTGGCCCTACCCAATAAAGTTTAGGAGTGCCCCACTCTGACTACAAGAGGCTCCCTCAAAGATTTTTCTTTTTTTTTTTTTTAGAGAGAGAGATTTTTGTTATAGGGTGTGTGGACTCACTAGAGAGACAGAGACAAAAAGCAAGAAATCACCCCCTGAGGGAGATGGCCATGCTGCCGTCCTTTCTCCTCTCAGGGTTTTGGGCACATATACACATACACCCAGCATGAGTTTCAAGCCTCCGGGTCTGGGACTCCAACTGTAGTCAGCTGTGTGGGAGTCCAGGGACATAATCATTATGCCATCTGCTGATCCCCCTCAAAGTTTTCTAAAGTGTCTCCTTGGTGACAGGAACCCCTGCCTCCTGGAGAATCTCAGGTTTAAGCCACAGAAATGAATGAGATCTCTTGGAAAGAAAAAATATGCAGCTGAGCTGAGAGAGCCTGACTCTTTGATAAAAGGGTGTTAGATCATTGGAATCCTTTACTCACCCCCTCACTTGCAAATTTCTTCATTATCACCAGCTTCTAAGGTCTTGTTTGTAGAAACAGGAGCTTTGCTCAGCTTTCTTATGCTTCTTTTCGTTCCTTCTGTTTACTCTCTTAATATATCTGTCTGCTTGTGGATTTGTAGCTAGATGTGGTGGTTAATATGTGTGAATTCCTTCCTCCGGGGCCATCCTTGTGGGGTTTCAGTTCTCTGCAGTGCATAGACCATCTGAGCCAACTCAATACCAGATTCCCACTCAGTGCTGTGTTGAGTCCTTCAGTAGAATGAGTTCTCTCCTTTGGGGATATGGTAGCAGTTGTATGGGTGTTTCCTCTCACACATGTCACATTCAGAGGTCGTGAATATTTGAAGCTAAGAGAACATATTACTGGGACCAGCAAATAGCGTAGTGGTTACATTGATGGACTCCCACATGACTGACCATGGTTCAAGTCCTGGACCCAGAGGCTTGAAACTCATGCCTGGTACGTGTGCATGCATGCCCAAGATCCCAAGAAGGGACTGGAGGGAAAGACATTGAATTGTGGCCATCCCCACCCCCAGGGCAGGGAATTAGTTCTCTCTGTCTCTCCAACAAGTGCATATACCCTATGGCAAAAATCTCTCTTAAGAGAGAGAGAGAGAACATATCACATGGGTGTGGTCATTTCCCTCCCCTGCCTTCAGTTTTTTAGTCCCAGATTTACATGCAGAATGCCAGCCGTGGGCATACAGGAAGCAGTGGTTCTCCTGGGCGTTCTTCGGCCACCACCAGCAACAATAGCTTGTTCAAAATGCACCTTTTAGCCTCAGCCCAAATCTATTGAATGGGAAACTTCCAGGGCTCCAGCACACTGTCCCTTAATTAACAAGTCCTCTAAGTGATTCTGATACAAGGGAGTCTTCATGAGCCACTGGTACGGAGAAAACTTGGGTCGAAAGACTATTGCAGTCATTGAGAATCTTTGTTACCCCGAACAAATTCCTGAACAAGATCTCCCTGAACTGGGGAGGTCTTCAGCTTTAGCTGTACATCACAAACACCTGGGGGAACTTTTAGAACTACCAATGCCTGGTTCCTAGCCAGATCAATCAAGTGGGACTCTCTGGAGAGAGGTTCAGACATCTGTGTTCGTAAATCTCTCTAGGGGATTCTGGCACAGTGAGAATGAGAACTCTGCTGTAAGCCTTGGGCTTCCTCCTCTGTATGGGGATGAGGGTGGGGTGGGAGGAGATGAAGTCTCTGCCTCTCTCTGAAAGGCAGTACCAGAGAAATAGGTTTGAGTTACCTAGGTGGACATGACCCATTAGGCAAATTATGAGCACTCTAGGAAGAATCAGCCATTTTTTTTCTTTCTCCAGACTGTTTTTTGTTTTGTTTTATTTTTGTTTGTTTGTTTGTTTGTTTTAAGAGCAATTTTTGCTATAGGATACATGCCAGAGAGCCAGAGAGACAGAAGGCGAGAAGTCACCCCCCAGGGAGGATGACCATGCTACACAATCCCTTCTCCTCCTTTCTCCTCTTGGGATTTTGGGTATGCATATGCTCATGCACCTGGTGTGAGTTTTAAGCTGCTGGGTCTGGGACTTGAACCATGGTCAACTACATAGGAGTCCAGCAACATAACCATTATGCCACCTGCTGGTCCCTCTCCAAACTGTTACCACCGGTTTCCGTAAGGCTCCTGGATCTGACATGACAGAAGGTAAAACCTTCAAAGAACCTTCTGAAGTGTGATTTATATTAACTTCATTCTTCATTGAAAACTGACAAGCCCTGGGCCAGGATCCCTGCATCGTAAATGATTTTCTCCTTCTTCTATTCCTTAGCACTGGCCCTGGAACCCACTCTGTATCATCCCATTTATCTGGACTCAGCGGAAGATTGATTTGGTTCAGATTTGCATTGATGTCCATGTTATTCTGGCATAATATTTGTAGATTTTTAATACTATTTTTGGCCACTTGCTAGTCATGAAACTAAAAGCAGCAGGGTGAAAGTAAACACCCTGTGACAGAACGTCCAGTGACCCCTGGTGTCCTCTGGGTAGAATCCGTGCTAAGCTGTCAGCCAGGGCTGGACTTTGTGGCTGATGTCTCCCTTGAGGCTGGTCCATGGGCAAACAAGGAGGAGTCATTGTTTGTATCTCAGAGGGGACAAAACAAACATCCATGTCTGGGTGAGGTCTAGGAGCAAAGTTCAGCTGCCAGTGCTGTACGAAGCTTCACCATTTACTCTGGGCTCAGTAACTTAGGGGAACTCTGAATTCCTCGAATTAATTCATTTGATCAACATCCTTTGAGAACCTCTGTAAGGTAACCAAAAAGAAAAAGGAAAGATTCAGATGCTGATTGGAGAAGCTTATACATGAGTGAGCAGTGGTGACTAAGTGCTAAATGAGGAATGAAGATGAGATGGTTTGGGGATCAGAGAAAAGAAATCCCCCTTAGGGATGTTCAGAGAGGACTGAATAGAAAAGATGGTATTTCATGTGAGCTTGAAAGGATAGCTGGAGGAATTGACATGCGCTAGCTTGGGGCTAGCAGGTGGTGTAGTGGTTCAGGGACTGGACTCCCACATGGCTGCCCCCTGAGTCCCAGACTCGGAGGCCTGAAAATCATGCCGGGCGCATGTGCATGTGTGTGTGCCCAAAATCCTGAGAGGAGAATGGAGGAGAAGGGATTGCAGTGTGGACATCCCCTCGGGGAATGATTTCTCATTTCCTCTTTTTCTCTCTCTCTAGCAAGTGCACGCACCCTCTAGCAAAAATCTCTCTAGAAAAAGAGAAAGAACGGACTCTAGCTCAGCTCAGATGTCATCCCTTTAGTCACCTCTCTGACTTTGCTGTGTAAAGCATTATTCTCTGTCATTCCCATCTCCTACCCTTTTATTTCCTTCACAACACTTACCATTGCCTAACTTTCTCTCTATTCGCAGTTTTTTTTGGTTTGTTTTGTTTTTGTAGAGGTTACACGTCTTAGCCAGAGAGAAAGAAGAGGGGGGGCAGTATTCCACAGTGATGTGCTCACCCGCTGCAGCCTCCTCTCCTGTTTCTCCATCCCATCGCGATTTGGGGCAAATATGCACTTATTCCCAGGGTGTTTTTCAAGCTACTAGGGCTGGGATTTGAACCGTGATCAACCATGTGGGACCTAGCCCCCTTTGCACTGTGCTAACCACTGTACAAGGCTGGCCCTATCTCTATTTTTTATTATTGATCAATCATGATAAAAGGTAACGCCTCATAAATACAGGGGCTTTCTCTCTCTCATTCATCCTTAATAAATAGCACTTGAAACAGTACCTGGCATCCAGTAAACATCGATACATTGAATAATGGACAGATGGATAGCTGTCTGAAGAAACTTTCATTTCACAGGGCATCACAGGAATCCGTTTTGCTGGAGGAGAGAAGTGCTACATCAAGGCGCAGGTGAAGGCTCACGTCCCCGAGGTGGGCACCATGACCAAGCAGAGCATCTCCTCAGAGCTGGTGGGTATGAACGTGCTGAGACAGTGGGGTCTGGCAGGTGTTTGAAGGCACAGTCTACTTGCTGGATAGGTGCATGACTAGAACCTGAGTCCTATTTCTTCTCAGCCAAAGGAATTTAAACTAGTTCTGTTCTCCTGGTTCCAAGGAATCATTCCTCCATGGTGTAGTACATTTAAAGTTTAGGGCCCAGCTACAGTGGCCAGTGCCCCTAAAACACTGCGCTCTACAGGCGAGGGCCACAGGGGAGGCCCAACTCAGGAGGCTGAGGCAGGAGGACAGCAAGCTACATAGCAAAACTTTTAAAAACATTTTAGGAAGCTATTTTTTTCTTTTTTTTTAGAGAGGTTTTTGCTATATGATGCGAGCACTTGTGAGAGACACAGAGAGAGAGAGAGAGAAAGTGAAATATCACCCCTCAAGAGGGATGGCCACACTGCAATCCTTTCTCTTTCATCCTTCTCTTGGGATTTTGGACACACACACCACATGCCAGGTGAGTTTCAAGCTGCCAGTCTGGGACTTGAACCATGGTTAGCTATGTGAGAGTCCAGCTATATAACCACTATACCACCTGCTGGCCCCAGGAAGGCTTGGGTTTTTTTTGTTTTTTTTTTTTAAATTTTGACAGAGGGTGCATGCAATCGCTGGAGAGAGACAGAGAGCTCATGGGGAAAGGTCATGCCACAATCACTTCTCTTCATCTTTACCCCCTCTGGAGATTCTGGGCATGCAAGCACACATGTCCAGCATGATTTTCAGCCTTGTCCAGACTCAGGAAGCCATGTGGCATCCAGTTGCCTCAACTACCACATCAGTGGCAGCCTGGTGAGCCGAATTTAAAGTACATAAAGGAGTTAGGTGTTCACATGGCCCTTATTTGCCCCATGTTTGGGAACTTTCTGAACAGAGAGTAAGACTCCACAGAAAAAGGTAAACAATTCCAGAAAATAGAATCTTCATTCAAGAGGACTCAGAAGCTTGACAGCCTCAGCCCCTCTCACTGCGGGCATTCCTCTTGACTCCCCTGGTGGCTGATCTCTGAGCCTCCGTAGGCAAGCAATGACAGGATACCCCCAACTGTGTGGCAGCCAGCTTCACTGGGGGGAGGTGCTTTTCCCTA